GAATTTACCTCAGGGAACAGAGATGAACCATGAGCCTTTGTGTCTCTAATAGACTCCAGGGCAGCTCCTCCTGAGCATTCCCAGATTTGGGCACTTTCCTGCGTCTCCCGGTAACAGGGCCATCAGGCTAAATGTCACCCTGGCACTTGCTATTCATCACCCCAGTGTGAGCCTCAAGCAAAAACCCAGCAGGGCTCTGGGGAGCTGAGTAGGTAGGCAGATGCACCGGAGACCTCTGGCAGGAGGGGGTGGAGGGGCATGCAGGCTGAGACGGCGAATGTGCCTATAGTTATACAGAGAGGTAGAGAAAGCCCCCGACAGAGTGGGAAAAGGGGACCTTTGGGACAGCATTGGCAGTGGGGGTATGAAATATAGAGCAAGCCCCTTCCTAGGATGGAAAGGAAGCCCTAGGGGTCAGAAATATGGAGACAGCCCCTCCTGCTGTGGGAGATGTGGGGGTGCTCTGGGATAGCTGTGAGCACTCACAATCCCCCATCTCTCCAGGCCTACTCCACTGGCCAGTGAACCAGCCTCTCTCACATCTCACCTCCTCGCTCTCCCAGCTGAGTGCGGGTCATTTTCCACGCAGGCTCAAACAAGCAGGGGCAGGAGATGATGACTTGCCACAGTGAAGCCGCGTCGGCTTCCCTTCAAGCCTCTCCTCTCCCCGGATCGCTTGGGCTGCTCTGGTGGCCGCTGGGTGTCCTTTTTTCTCCCAGTCTTCATTTAAATGGAGGTTTTAAGGCTTCTTCCCACCCAGCCACGTGGCGGGGCCGAGTCTCAGCAAACAGCTTCAGCCATTTGAATGGTGCCTACAGGGAACCTGGAGAACCCCTCACAGTCAAGGGGCTCTTTTTGCACGTCCACCCTATCAGGGGCCTAGTGGGATAATCTTGGGCCCCTGGTAGGTGTGCAGCAGCTACCGCAAAGGACAGAGTCAGCGCTCAGCACACCCAGCAACGCAGAGCATTAGGGATCATGGAGTAAGGTGTGAGACTGGCACCTAACTCCCACCAAATTGGAATCAGGCACCTAAATCCCTTCGGCCCCTTTGAAAATAGCAGCCTCTGCATTTAATCCTTTCTTACACCTGGGGCCGATGGGAGCACACACACCCCGCTACATGCACACACCCATTAGGGATAGAACCCCTGGCTCTTGCCTCACCTGGCCTCAGGGTAAGAGAATTCAGGCATGGTTAGTCCTGTTAGGTCCCCTCTTGTCCACCTCAGAGAGACCAATGCACTTTAATCCCCTATAGTATTTCCAGGGCTCTGTCCAGCCAAGTTTTAGATTTCCCAACAGTTGGGGCTTCCACTCTGTGGCCAGGGAGACTATTCCAGTTTCAGAGATTGCAATGGCCAGGACATTTCCCCAATATTCAGCTCCAATTTGCCTTTGCTTCATTTCCTCCCATTCTTCCTCGTCATACCCCTCAGCGTCATTTTCCCGCCTCACTCGACAATTATAGCCATAGACGGTTATCATAGCAAAGAGAGACTGACATGCTGCAAACAGTTAATATTCAGGAACTGTGTCAGCTGGGTGAATCTGCATTGCTAGCCCGATTTTGTAAATGGGGAAACTGAGGCACAGAGCAGCCAAGTGATTTGCAAGGTCACACAGGAAGTCACTGGCAGATCTAGGAAGAGAACATAGAAATCTTGACTCCCACTCTTTTGCTTCAGTCTCACAGTCTCTGAATCAGGTCACAGCCTCCCTCCCTGCTCACAGCTCGAAAAGTATCACGGTTAGGTGTCACAGTGAGCAGAGAGAACTGTTTCCTTGCTGCTGGACAGTGCTTCTGTCTCAGGATCCCCAAGCACTTCACAAACAGGAGTCTCTTCACTTGCCAGTTGTCAGTGGTGGACCATTGCTGGGAATTATGGCTCACGGGAGGCAGCTAACTGCCAAAACTTTGCATGCATCTCTTCCGGACTGCATCACAGCTGAGGTGCATCTAGTCCAGTATTTTCTCTCTCCCTGTGGTCAGCACCAACTGCTTCAGAGGAAGGGGCAAGCAACCCAGCAGCAGGCGGCTGTGGGATCGTCTGCCCTCCTTGAAAGCCTCGTGAAGTGTTAGAGACTGGCTTAAACCCTGAGCTTTTAGATCCCTTCCAAAATGTGTTAGCTTAAACTCTTATATTAGCATGGCTGACTCTTTCTGGTCCCTGTATCCTGAGGGCATTCTGGGGCTGGCGAGCACCTCCCCGCGGAATACCCACGGGGCAGGCTTCCACAGTGGCAAAGGCCTAGCAGGAGCGCCCTGGCCGCCCCCATGTAGGGTTCTCCTGCAAGTGTAGCAACTGGAATGCACTGCGCTCTGGCTAGTCCAGGCTGCCAAATGGCCCGATAGGGAATTGTGGGTCCCAGTCCTAAGTTGGAAGCCCCTGGGGCTGCTTAAGGGTACACCAGGGGCTACAGCCACCTTTGCCCCCACCCCTAATAAGCTGAGCATCGTGGAAGGTGCAGCTCAGAAGCAGGGCCTGGGCTCGTCATCTGACTCATCCTCTTGCATTGCTGTGGGATCCCCGAGTGTATACCGAGGTGCCTTCAGCAGGATGGGAGCATACAAGTGCTGCCTCGGTCCCACAATACCTCTGCCCTGCCGCAGCCTGCAATCCCATCCTCCTGCCCGGGAAACCCACAAGAAAACCACACTGCACTGAAAGGAGCGAGATGTATTTTTTTGCCAGACTAAGAAAATCCTAGTTAAACACAGAAACACGCATGTGGTTTGGAAGTTGCCGTCCGTTTCCTAGCCTGCTGCTGTAGCACAGAGGGGCCAGTACAATGCCCTGGAGGGCACAGGCTCAGTTCAGTCATTGCCACTCCCTGGGCAGTTGGGCTGCAGGCACCAGGAAGACATCGGCCATGGGTGGCTCTGACGGAGGTCACAGTCAGAGCTGGGAGGAAATGATCCATTGTACAGTCAGTGAAGGGAAGAACCAGCCCTGAAGAGCAGGGGGCTTCTGAAGACTGCGGGGAGCGAAGAATCCTTTGCCACTACCCGTCCCCTAACATGCACACACAAAGGCAAAGTCTCTCTGTTTCTACGCAGATAATAAATAACATTTTTGCAGCCACTGCCCACCTCTGCTTGTCCGCTCCCACCCAGCTAACCCCCTGTCAAAGGGCTTAGTCCTTGGTCGTCATACACACGGCAAGTTCACCCAACTTTTGTCACAAGAATATTATGAATTAGTTGCCCTTCTCAAAGCACTTTACAAACACTCACGCATTAAGCCTCACACAACATCACTGTGGGTTAGGTATCAGACCCTCATCAGAGATGGGGAGACCGAGACGGAGAGGTTAGGCGACTTGTCCATGTAAGCAGTGGAACCACAAATAGAACCCTGGAGTCCTGACTCCCAGTGTCCCCCCTGCTCTAACCACTGGAAAATACTCTTCCACAGCTGGGAATAGTATAATTAATTATCACATAATGCAGTAATGCCTCAACCAGGGAGGGGCCTAGGGTGACCAGATGTCCCGATTTTATATGGACAGCCCCAATATTCAGGGCTTTGTCTTATATAGGCGCCTATTACCCCCTACCCTGGTCCTGATTTTTCACACTTGCTGTCTGGTCACCCTAGTGGGGCCCCATTGTGCTAAGTACTGGATAAACATATAGTAAATGACGGTCCTGAAGAGCACAGCACCCAGGAATCCTGACTCCCAATCCCCGCTCCTACTCTGTCCATTAGTCTGCCCTCCGCCATGGCAGGGAATAGAACCCAGGCATCCTGACTCTGCTCTAACCACTAGAGAGACAACCCTGCTGTACTAAGAGGCGATTATAAAGAGCGTAAGTTCCGTCCTGTGAGCGCTTCTGCAGAGCTATCCTAGGGAGGACCCCACACTTCTCCTTCCCTCCCACACTGACTGCGCTGTGACTTGACTGTCACTGGGCTGTATCTGATAATTACAGTTACTCTCTAATTATCACCTTCTGATTTCTCTTTGTTAAGGCTTGTTGGGAAGAGAGAACGAAAGGCTTTGGCAGCGCTATGGAGTTGCAGATACCAGAAAGTGGAGGCACCTGGATTCAGGATAAGGTGGACATACCATTTTTGCTGCAATGTTTAACCAATCCCCCATCAAAACATTATAAAAACGATCAAGCAGTGTCACCTTTTACAATGCAATGCCGGGGGTTTCTCCCATATCCCCCGCGCACACACTGTCTGGTACTGGAGCAACCAGACACAAGTTAAAATATGCAAAGATGCTAATTTAAAAGTACAGATGAGTGAGGAAAGAGTGAGAGTCTCAAAAAGCTATTGTTATTGAAATGAGACAGTGCACTGGGAGCGGTTGTAATGGGGAGAGATGGTGGGGGTTGGAAAGATTGGGAAGTTGAGAGACTGTAGGGGAAATGGAGAAGAAAGAGAGTGTGACTGATGGAGGATAGGGGGAAGCAGAGGAACTTCTTCCTCCTGAAACCAGGGGTCTGACTCTTTCCTCCACTCCCTGCATACAAAGGACTCGGACTGGAGTCCGCTGCCACAGAAAATGCACCTTTCGCCGACAACAGCGATAAGCAACAGGTGTGGTGAAGCTGAACACGGCCTAAGTGCAAGTGAGAAAGGACCAAAGCGTGTTCTGCCCCAAATGCAGGACCAAACCCTTAGCACACAGCATCCTACAGCAATGAGCCAAAGCACTACAGCCTGGTACAGCCTTTGGGCCCATTATTGCAGACTACTGCAGCCTGAAAGCTCCAATCCAATGGGCCATGGATTTGTATTGGCCTGGAAGATAACATGCCTGAGCCAGAGCGATGAAGAAGAGAGACACCTCCTCACAGCTGAACTGGTGCCTATTTACTAACTTCCCAGAGAGGAGCAGGAGAGCATGGCAACAACAACACCTTTCTGCCTCAGCACCCCAACTTTCTAACACCCAGAAACTTGTTCTAAACACTCCCCTCGAGCTGGCAGTCAGGACTCCTGGGTTACCCACCCTAAACTCTAGACCATCTTCTCCTCCCATAGCCAGGAACAGAACCCAGGTGTCCTAGCTGCCTGTTCCCTGCTAAGTCTCAGGGGATGGCTGTCTGTAGCACAAGCAAACAGATGTGAGCGAGGGGGCTGGGGAAAAGGCCAGGATCAAAGTGTCTTGTAAAGCAACTCTTCTCTACCTCCCCTACACTGGCTTCACAAGAAAAGTCTGTCTCCACAGTTAAAGGCTGACAGGATAGGTAGGGCTGTCACACCCATGAAGCTGATAGCATTACCCAGCCCTGCCTGCTTGAATGAACAATCATGCAGGCAGCAGTCCCTCTGGTTTGCTGCATTTTCTGTGTCACTTTAGTAGCCCAGGAGAGTGAAAGCATTTGCTTAGCCACAGGACTGGGAGAAGGAGCAGTAGGGCAAACTCCCCCACTTCCCTCCTAAATGGGTTGAGAGGCAAGGTCAGTCTCAGGGGCCTGTTCAAGGCCATGGTTTCCCAGAGGAAGCTACTGACAACTATGACAAGGGAGTTTTCTTTTTCCTAGGAACTACACTGAGACCCACCAAACTCATTTGACATAAGGCACCCAACAGACATCAACCACTTCCATTCACTACCAACCTGGGCTGGCCCTGGGTTTGAACCCGTGGACTCAAGGTGAAAAGCACCATCCCCCCAAGCCATCCAGTCCCCTAGAAAGTCATCTTCTGAGTATATCAGAGAAACAAAGGAAGACACAAACATACTTGCTAATACATAAATACAAACTCCTTCCCAGGCAGAGGGGTAGCAATTCCTCTTCTCCTCCCTCCCCTGTATGCACACTCCCCAGAAACTGGGCCATTTGCTACAGACCTCTCTCTGCCATATCCCGTCTCCCCGCCCCGACTCCCTCTCCTGATCCCCTTTCAATCCAGCACACTGGAGGTGAAGGGAGTGATCTTCTCCAGTGATATATCCATCTCGCACTCCACATGGACCACGGCTGGCAAGATGGCGTTGGCATGGTTGTTGTGGGAGGTCTTGGAGATCTGCGACACTTTGTCAAAAGTCAGCTCATTGTCTTCTGCCTGCAGGGTGGCATGGGGGAGAAGGTGCGGGTCGCTGAGAGTCACCACGTCCTTCTGGTAGGTGGTGTCATGGTGGTAGGAAACCAGCTCATTGCTGAAATTCACCGTCTCCACCACATTGCTGGGGCAGAGACGGCCGCAGGCCAGGATGGTGGCAAAGGCCCTCCTGAAGTCAGCATTGAAGGCGTAGATGATGGGGTTGAGGGAGGAGTTGGCCCAGCCGAACCAGACAAAGATGTTGAAGACTGTCTCGCTGACACAGGGCAGCTCCCCGGGATCGTGCAGGCCAAGGTCGCAGAAGGGCACCATGCAGTTGAGCACGAAGAAGGGCAGCCAGCAGAAGACGAAGACTCCCATGATGATGGAGAGGGTCTTGAGGACTTTGGTCTCCTTCTTGAAAGAGTTCTTCAGAGAGGCCTCGTGGGGGCAGTCATTGCTGTGGCAGTTCTGGGCATGCTCCACAGCTCTCTCCAGAGAGGAGATCCTGCGGATCTGCCGCTGAGCGATGCGGAAGATCCTGGTGTACGTGACGATCATGATGGCCACGGGGATGTAGAAGCTGATGAGGGATGAGGAGATGGCATAGGTCCTGTTGAGGCTGGAGTCACAGTTCTCCTCTGAGCCCTGTGTGGAGTTGGAGCTGGGCTCCTGCTGAGCAAGGAGCTCACTGGCTTTGTGCCACCTCAGCTGCACAGGGATGAAGGAGATCAAAATGGAGAGCAGCCAAGCCACGCCAATCATGATGAAAGCCACTCGCTGGGTCATCTTCCTCTCGTAGCGGAAGGGGCTGGAGATCGCCCAGTACCGGTCCACGCTGATAATGCACAGATTGAGGATGGAGGCTGTGGAGCACATGATGTCAAAGGCCACCCAGACATCACAGAAGCCCCCGAAAGGCCAGAAGCCGGCCACCTCAGCGACTGCCTTCCACGGCATCACCAGCACAGCCACGAACAGGTCGGAGACAGCCAGCGAGATGACAAAGAAGTTGGTGACCTTGGAGCGCAGGTGCCGGAACTTGATCACAGCCACGCACACCAGGGTGTTGCCCAGCAAGGTAGAGAGGATGAGGAAGAAGAGCAGGGCAGCCATCGCCACCCGCAAGGACAGCTCCGAGTTGTCCTCCTCCACCCAACTTGTCCTGCTGAGGGTGTCATTGATCATCTCCAGCCCATCTCCCCCTCCTAGCAGGTAAAGCCCATCCATGAGTTCCCTTTGTCCTGCTGTCCCCAGAGATCTCACTGGTGCTACGTCCCCATCGGCACACAAACTGCCTCCTCTTTATTCCTCCTCTTGCATCTCAGAAGCACAAACTGCGACCCTTCCAGCTCTTGAACTCTGACAAGCACGGCTAGATCCCCGGTCACAAGTGCTCCAACCTTTCGCTCCTTTCCAAGTCTCCTGCAGGCAGCCTGGCATTTTTCCCCCACCACTTTTCTTCTTATGCAGCCTGCCGCTCACAAAGAGCCAGTCCTCACCTCCTGCTCTCGTGTGGGGTGGGTGGGCTCAACTGCAATCTTCCCTCCCCCTCCTCTCACAAGGGGCTCATCAGCTGTTACAAATCCATCGCTCGTAGAATCCCTGTCAATCCCTTTTGTACTGGCCAGGGTGGGACTTGCTGCTGGGTCGGGTACAAGGGGGAGTTTGGGGATCACTCTCTGCTGTTGCTGCTAGATGCTCGCTGCTTCTCAGCTCAGACACTCAGCTGCTCTGCTGCCGCTGTTCTTTCCTCCCTTGCTAATTTGCTCCAGATTTTACACAGGTGAGATCCCCTCCTTCTCCATGCACTGACCCCCTACTCTCCAATCTCTGCCCTTTTAGTCCTGAGATATTGGGGGCATGGCGTTTGGGACTTTTCTGCAGAGATTGGGGAAGGGGCTGGATTTAGAGAAGGTAGGGAAACAGGCAACAGGGAAGGGGAAAGGGATGAGATGATGAGCAATCAGACAGGGTTGAGAAGATCTGGGAGGCTTAGATGACATTTATTGATAGGTTGGGAGTTCGATAGGTGGGAATCCAAGTCATTTTGATCCTCCCAGTAGGAGGCAGCATGGTCTAGTGACTAGGCTACTGGGCCAGGAGACCTAGGTTCTGTTCCCACTGGTTTGCTGTGTGACCTTAGGCAAGTCATTTCCCCTCTCTGTGCATCAGTTTTCCCATCTGTAAATAGTGGATAATGACAGTTGCCTTCCTTTGTAAAATGTTTCAGGATCTATAGATGAAAAGCGCTGTATAAAGAGTTCCTTGCTATTGCAGTATAATCTCTCCAAAGTCCTCTTCCTCCGATCGTGGAGCGAGGGCAGGCCTGTACACAACTGTCTTTATTTGAAGGGGGCCTAAAGTAAAGAATAATAGGTGTAGAATATTGATTTAATGAGGACTTTTGTACCAGGACTCAATTTGTCCAATTTTAATAAAGTGAGATAAACACGCTTCTATTCTCAACTAGGTGTTTTCTTTATTAGGGCAATCCTTGTATTAGGGCTTGGGGGCAGGGGGTGTGCTACAACTCCAACGGTCTAGGCCCATGGAGTGGTATACAGAAAGCAAAGAACTTTTTCATGTTAGTACAAAATCTAAATGCCAGCCCCTATTCCAGACTGATTAACAGGTCCTTGCATAGCCAATGCTCCGTACAAGGAAATCTGACCCTTGAGTCTATGGGTTATTCCTTCTGTGGAGGAGATGCAGTGACCAACTGTCACTATTCCTCCCCCTTCTTGTGGTGCTGGGGCAGTTACAGAGGAGAGTTCAGTGATCTCAGTTTATTATCCTATCTACAGTACCGCTGGGTAAACGGGGGGCTGAACTCCCTTGGGACTCCTTTATTAGGAATCAGGACTGACCCATTCACATACAGTTTAGTCTTCAAGTTCATGGGCCATTTCCACCACCCCTGCAACTCCACTGATTTCAACGAAGTTATACCAAGGGTCACTTTGGCCCCGTAGGCTGGAGCCTTCATCGCAGGAGAAGGTGAATGGCAGCAGATATGGTTTAGAACTTAGGAACCACTGAATTTTTCAGGGAAAACTAGGTACCATCCTAAAGAATCTTCATCCCTTTATATGCATTTTACCCGTGGGCCACATGTTCTGTCTCTCCCTAGGATTCTTTCTGCACTGAATCACATAGTCTGTCCCCAAAGAAGGCTCAAAAGAGCACTGACCTTTGCTCCTTAGGGATTTCTCCAGGGCTAAAGGTCCTGGGGAAACAGCTCTCAAGATTAACCTACTTTGGAGAAACTCTTCACTGGCAAACTTGCCAAGAAACAAGCAGCAAAACCCTTCCAAGACACACACGCCCAAGAAATCAGCCCCACTCAGCACTAAACTCGCTAATTACCCAGCTGTTTGCTGTAATACAACACAGTGCAGTGACCTTAACCCTTCCCGGCATGGTGCACCATTTCTAAATGAAGCAGCAGTCAATCATCTTGAAACAACCCAAGCCTATTGTGTGTTTTGGTTTCATTAGCTTTACCCTGCCCCATGCATTGTATAATCTCAGATTTCAGTCTGAACAGACCCTACCCCAGAACTACTTGTGGCTGCTGTCTTCAAGGCTGTTCATAGGTGACACCCACTCTCTCTGATCTAGCCAAGAAAGTGATTCTGTTTTCATCATGAAGAAAATATTTTTCTTCTTTAATCAATTCCATGGCACAGCATCCCCTCTGAATGAGCTCTTTAAAGAAACTAACTAAATACAGTACAGGAATAGCTTGCAAGAGCTTCATTTGTCTCATTAAGTTCTATTGCCTTCCAGCAGGTTCCTGCCAACTATTTATACCAAGAAGGTGTGTTTGCTCTTTAAAACTTTTACTAGCGCCTTTGAAATGGTCAGACCTTTTACTTGCCAATCAATGGCGATAGGAAAATGGACGAAGGCATTTCAGCACAGAAGGGAGAGTGGGTAATATAATGCAACAAGAGACTTCGACTCCTGGCCAAGGACATACAAACACAGGAAAGCACTTCTATGATTCAAGCTAATGCACTAAGTGCATGAGATTGGGGATATTAGGCATTGATGCAGCTTCTCGTGATGCTGAGCATTAGCCCGAAGCGTTACCATTCTATGCATAGGCACCTTTTGACACTGCAGATCATTTTTACCATGTTGGATCTGAAAGGACATTCATCTCGATGCTCTCTACGCAGAGCACGTGGATTTCAAAAGTTCTTCTCATTGTTGGACATAGGGTAGGCACATGCTTGCTCCTGCAAGTCAGCCACCTAGTGTTACATAGTCATAAGTCTCAACCCAAAGTTGCATGCTGTCCCTCACTTAGGTCAGAATCAGTGCCTCAAGATGCCTACAAGCAAGACCACCGCAAGCCAGGACATGGTCATGTCTCACAAGCTATATAGGCCAGTCCTTGGATGGGAAGCATTCCAGGAAAACTTAGGCACTGCAGGAGGTGGGGTTGATGATTCTTTCATGAAGAAGGGGGCATTCTTCATAAGAACATAAGAGTGGTCGTACTGGGTCAGACCAAAGGTCTGTCTAGCCCATTAGCCTGTCTTCCAACAGAGGCCAATGCCAGGTGCCCCAGAGGGAATGAAAAGAACAGGGAATCATCAAGTGACCCATCCCATCACCCATTCCCAGCTTCTGTCAAACAGAGGCTAGGGACACCATTCCTGGCCATCCTGGCTAATAACCACCGAGGGACCTATCCTCCACAAATTTATCTAGTTCTTTTTTGAACCCTGTTATAGTCCTTCCTTTTAAGTTAGTTCCTTACCAATGCTTCAGCATGGTGCTATGGAACAGCCTTTTGCCTAAGACATAAAACCAGGGTTCCGTACCTCAGACTGCAGAACTAATGTTCATTATAATTCCTCTGATCCTTTTTGAAAGAGAAAGTTGTTAACCCTGGTATCATGACAAAATTGGAGCTTAGGTAATTACATTCTGCCCATCTGAAATTCTTCCTGCAATTTCTGTTGGATGCGATATCCTTTGCTTGCTACACTAAACTGGTATGTAAGGTTGCATCATTAAACAGCTGCTGATCCATCTCAGAAGTAGCTGCATTTCAGTGAAGTGAGCACTGTGTATATATTTTGCAAAGCACTTTGGTAAGAAACCATTCTATTTTGGTGGCAAGTCATTCTTTCGCACTTCTGTATTTAATATCTTTCCCTTCCCAGCAACAGGGTGCTCTCTCTAAATTACCTCTCTACTATTTTCCCCCTTCTTTTTCACAGCCACATCTTTCAGCTTTCTTTCCATTCAGTCATCTTGATTACTTTCCCACTCAAGAGTCAAAGCATGAAAATTACAAGCCACTTCAAGTAACGCACCAGCTGCTCAGATTTAACTCTTAAATGCCTCTTCCAGCCCTTCAGAACAATAGTCTCTCTGGCATGTTTTACACGCACTTGCAATGGGGATATATACAGCAACTTCTCCATGCCTTGCCTCTCACAGAAGGGAATTATCCTGTCTGGGAGTTAGCTACTCTGCTGCTTAAGTCCCTACAGAAAGGATCTAGAACTACGGGCTGTCAGCAAAGTCTCAGCTGTCATTATAGGGTCAGGCAGCGTACAAGTAACTTAGAATGCAACATGGGAACCAAACAACTGTCTTCCCCTGCGAAAGGTATGCAATAGAGGGCCAGTACCCACAGCAGAGACGCAATAACCCCTTGCCCTGCTAATGCAGAATACAGCATTCAGTTCCAGGCATCCTCAAAAAAATGGGAAGAGAAGTTGGGAATGTAGAGAACAAGGAAGACTCTAGTTACTTTCTAGGATGGACAATACAGGAATTAGTGGTTGCTATTCCAAATGTTAACCCTTAATTTAAAATCAATAAGGGAAAGTCGTAAATCGTCAAAGAGTAGGAGAGAATGATTGATGAAGATTAATCCAATAAAGTAGGTAATAACTGAACAGGGACTCAGACAGGGACTGTATAAGCATCCAAATGAGATCAATAACCAAGCACAGTCATTTACGGTGATCTAAGGGGACATAACGAGACATAACAAAAGGAAGCTGAAGAAAGGAACGTTTACATGGATCCTCTAAATGTTGAGCAGGGAGGTCTATTAGATTGTGGGATAGTGTCCTTGGTGAAAGTCCCAACATTTTATAAAATGGAAAAACGTGGGAAAGAACGTGGGAAAAGGAAAAACGTGGGAAAGAAGAGGCAAAAAGGATGGCATACCCTGAAGAGCAAAGAGACAGCTTTTAAATCAAACGCTCATGAACACGCCAGGGCTCCTGAACCACAAGCCAGCAGGGCTGTCTCTCTCACTGAAAGCAACTGCCTGTTTTAATTTAGACGCAGTACAGACCACTAGCTGCTCTTTCCTACAGAGGTCACGTTGTGGGTACGTCCAACAGCCGGGTACATGGATTATCCATCACTCTGTTTTTGAAGTCAAACCACTGTCAGCTGCCCATTTATGTTTAGTGAGCCATCTTTCCATCATAGGCGTTGGAAGCATCATGGGAGCAGCATTAATAATGTGATCCATCTCAGAGATAATGCGAGAGAGAAACTGGCAGCACAATGGACGTTTCTGGTTTTTTTCCCTCTTTATTACACAGCAGGTAGAAAAAACAGCAACCGTTTCCCCTTTCTCTTTACATAGGAAAGGAACACGGAGATTAAAATGATTTAGTATGATTGTGTTTGCGGCCCATGTGACTTGCTAACCCCTCGCTCCATGCCCTC